AGCTGATGTCGTGCACTCCGATTCAAACGGCGATCCAGTTTTGACAGCGGCATCGGAAACTCGCATTAAGAACGAGTGGATTTTGGACTCGGGATGCACATTCCATCTCTATCCCAATCGGGACTGGTTTACAACATTCGAATCAAAGAATAACGGTGTAGTATTGATAGGGAATGATGCCCAATGCTCTGTCCTTGACATTGGTTCAGTTCAAATAATGACTCACGACGGTTGCATTCGTACTCTTACAAATGTTCGATACGCTCCTGATGTCAAAAGGAATTTGATATCTCTTGGAACTTTGGACTCGCTTGGTTATAAGTTCTCAGCTACAGGTGGAGTTTTGAAGGTGTCTACAAGATCTAGAACAATTATGAAGGCGAATCGGGTTGGATGTTTATACGTCCTACAAGGTCATACCGTATCGGGTTCGGCGGCAACGGCTTCATCGATGAATGATTCAAATTTCACTCGATTATGGCACTTGCGTTTGGGCCATATGAGTGAGAAAAGAATGAAGATGTTAAGCTCTCGAGGTCTTCTTGGTGATCAAGGAATCACAAATTTAGAATTTTGTGAACACTGCGTTTTCGGAAAGCAAAAGAAGGTCGGTTTCTCCATTGCCTCTCATCGTAGACATGGCGTGGTCGATTATATTCACTCCGACTTGTGGGGACCATCGAAGGTTCCATCATTTACCGGGAAAAGATACCTTATGACATCGATTGATGATTTTTCCCAGAAAATTTGGGTGTATTTCTTGAGGCAGAAGGATGAAGCTTTCGACACTTTCAAGAAGTGGAAAGCTTTTGTAGAGAATCTTACGGGTAAGAAAATAAAATTTCTTAGAACTGACCGTGGCTTAGAATTTTGCAATGGTGAATTCAATGAATTTTTCGCATCGCATGGTATGAGGCATAAGACCTTGCCAAGAAAGCCCCAACAAAATGGCGTCGCAGAACGAATCAATCGGACTTTATTGGAGAGAGCTCGGTGTATGCTTTCGAATGCATGATTATGGAATCGGCGTGATTTGTGGGCTGAAGCTGTTTCGACATCATGCTATTTGGTAAATAGATCTCCACACTCCGCTTTTGACTTTAAAATCCGAGAAGAAATATGGTCAGGTAACCCGGTCGACTATTCCTTTTTGTGTATTTTTTTTTGGATGTCCCGCATACATGCATGTTGACGAAGGAAAATTAGCTCCGAGGGCTTTGAAGTGTATTTTCCTTGGATATTCAACTGAGTTGAAAGGATACCATTTATGGAACGCGGATGGTAAATCATGCAATGTAGTTTTGAGTCGAGATGTTACTTTTGATGAAAAATCTATGTTGTCTTCTGGAAATGGTTCAGCTGCAGGTTCGACATCCTCGTCAAATGACCAGCAGCAATTTGGAGAAAATGTGGAGTTGCCAATGATGTTCCGACCCACTGCTGATGTTCCTAGCTCTTCCGACCCGCAAGTTGATGAATCTAGTTCGAGTACCACATTGAATGCTCCGGTGAGACATGATACATACTCAATTGTCAGTGATCATCCTAGGAGACAAATTCATCCTCCTTCTAGATTTTTAGAGGATTCTGTGGTGGCATATGCTCTGTCCGTGGCACAAGAATTCGGTGATGTCAGTGAACCAAAAAATTACGATGAAGCAACTTATTGTGCCGAATCTCCTAAATGGTTTATGGGAATGAAAGAGGAAATTCAAAGTCTCTACAAGAATGACACTTGGGATCTTGTTGAACTTCCGATGGGTAGGCGTCCACTACGTTGTAAGTGGATATTCAAGAAAAAAGAAGGCATTTCGGGGGTTAAAGAGCCTCGTTGCAAAGCACGGCTAGTCGTCAAGGGATTCAGTCTGCGTGCAGGTATAGACTTTACTGGAATTTTCTCTCCCGTTATTCGACATACTTCTATTCGTGTTTTGCTCGGTATTGTTGCTATGTCTGATTTGGAATTAGAGCAACTTGATGTAAAGACGACCTTTCTTCATGGTGACCTTGAGGAAGAAATCTATATGGAGCAGCCCGATGGCTTTATCATTTCCGGAAAGGAAAATTTGGTGTGCAAATTAAAGAAATCGCTTTATGGATTGAAGCTTTCCCCGCGGCAGTGGTACAAAAGGTTTGATTCATTTATGATTGGGCAAGGTTATTCTCGCAGCAAGTATGATGACTGTATTTATTTTCAGAAGTTCTCTGATGGTTCATTTTTATACTTGTTGCTTTATGTTGATGACATGTTGATTACCTCACGTAACATATCTTGTATTGTTAAGTTGAAATCGCAGCTTAGTAATGAGTTTGATATGAAAGAGCTGGGCGCTACGAAGAAAATTCTTAGGATGGAAATAATTAGAGATCGAAAAAGCGGGAAGTTATTTATGTCCCAAAGAGAGTATGTGGAGAAGGTACTCGATGGATTTAATATGCGATCTTGCAAAGCTGTGTCTACTCCCTTGGCTGCGCATTTAAGATTGTGCAAAAACTTGAGTCCTTGTTCATAAGATAAAGTGGAGGGAGGACATGGCGAAAATTCCGTACTCAAATGTGGTTGGTAGTCTAATGTATGCAATGGTTTTCACTAGGCTGGATTTGGCGCATGCCGTGAGTGTTGTGAGCCGTTATATGCACAATCCGGGAAAGGCTCATTGGAATGCTATTAAGTGGATTTTGCGATACTTGAAAGGTACATCGCATCTTGGCTTGGTTTTTGATAGAAATAAGTGTACTTCATTGGATGTGACCGGTTATGTTGATTTGGATTATGGTGGAGACCTTGATCGTAGATGTTCTCTTTCGGGACATATTTTCACTTTATGTGGATGTTCTATTTCATGAAAATCTTCACTTCGGTCGGTTACTGCTTAATCGACCACCGAGGCGGAATATATAGCAGCTACCGAAGGAGTTAAAGAAGCGATTAGGCTAAGAGGTCTTGTTATGGAGCTTGGTTACGAGCAAAAGTTTCTTACTGTATTTTGTGATAGCCAAAGTGCAACACATTTGACAATAAATAATCGGTATCATGAAAGGACCAAACATATTTCTGTGAAGCACCATTTTATTCGAGATACGGTCTTAAAAGGTGAAGTCGTAGTGGACAAAATTCATACGTCCGAGAACCCGGCTGATATGTTAACTAAGCCACTTGCCGTTGCCAAGTTCCAATATTGTTTGGACTTGGTTAATCTTAGCAGTTGTTGAGTGTCCTGTCGGGGACTTGGCGATGAGGATGTTTATTTTTTAAATCAAATTTTTGGCAAGGTGGAGTTTGTTGGGATTGTGCCTCAAATTCTCTTCAAGGCAAGATTTTCAGAAGTTTCCGGCAGCCTTAGTCATGGGCATGAGTAGGCGGACTTCCCTGTTCTAGATTTGATTTGATATATCTTGCCAAATCTGAAGATTTCGGAGTCTTTAATCACGGGCGTGACCAAGATGGCAAGATTGACTTTGCACCAAAACAGTAGAGTCATGGGCGTGATCAATTAGTGATTTCCTAAGATTCCATATCTCCATCCTTCTATATATTTGTGATTTCTATCGATTTGATTTACCTTCCATGTTAGAAGGTCAAAACTTCCCCTTTTGCATAGATATTGACAAGGGGATGTTTTTGGGGGTTGAGAGAGGTTAATCATTCGATTTGTAACATTGAAAACATTCGATTCATCTAGTGGATTCCTCATCGTTCGTGGTTTTTTCCCGTTTTGGGTTTTCCACGTAAATCTTGTGTTCTTTTCGTATTTTGCAATATTTTGTTTGTGCTTCATTTGTGTTTCAATCCGCTTCCGCAATTTCATCGCACCGTTAGGCGCGTAAATCCCTAACACCTATGGTAACCAAGCCTCAAGGTGGAGGTCGACATCTTCACTCTAAGCCACAACACCCACCGGAATCGGCTATCGGAAAGGGCTTTTCACTCGCCGGAAAACTCACCGGAATCTCTCAGCTTCTCTTCTCTCTCTTTCTTCTCGGTCTTGCTCTCAACTCTCTGTAACACACTCGTAACTCTCTCAAAACTGACTCCCACGGTTGGCTGGAGTGATGACTCCACCCTACTCACACAAAAAAACCCACCATCTAATATAACCCTAAAAAGTAACTTTCCCAAACTAAAAAAACCACGCACGGTTATAACCAACCTAACAAGTGGGCATAGGGTTTGATATATGGGTTTAGGAATTGGGTTTGGGTTAAATCCGGTGGGTTGGGCTAAGGAGTGGGCCAATTTATTTTTATTTCCGGGGACTTGTCGGATTAGCTTCGAACAGTCAAAATTTCCTAACATATTTGATTTTTATTTGTAAAAAAGAAATAAGAGTAAAGACTACATATATAAATGCTTCATTTGCGGGTACATTCTAAAAAAACAAGTTATTCAAAAAACTTTTTTACATTTAAAATGGAATGCAAATAAATAAAACAAAATGTTGATAAAGTTTGCGGATGTATTCGTTTTTGCAGGGGTAACTGTTTCTCCATGAATATCTTCAATGACCAGACAATGATGATATGTCAGCAGGTATATATGATTTTATTCACTTTGGATTTTATAAAGAATGATTTGTTTAGATTTATTTAGCTTTAATGGATCGTCTGCTGATATTTCAAAATCCATTTATGTTGTTTTAACTTTTGAAGATTTTGCATCATTTAATGTCTTTAAAAATTAAATGGAAGCTTAATATTTTGAATCTATTAATATACTGTGGATTGTATAATTTTTTTTGTTTTAAAAAAAAAATAACCATAGGTTTTTTTATGCACTCTTGTGTCATAGTTATTCAATCTAATTTAATTTAATTCATTTTTATTGATGTTGAGTTTTGGCGACCATGACTCACATCTGGTGCATACCCTGACCCGGTGACCCAATTTGTCCCATGATGCGATCTGATCCGTTCATTTTAGGGTTGTAATTCTAGTTGTCTATCCATTCGTATATATATTTATATAGGAGAGTTGTCCTTCATTCTATATGCGCAGCCGCTTGTATTAATACAGTTCTCTCTTCTCCGTTTGGGTTCGCTCCTCTCTAGTTTTCGAGAGGCAATTATTCCGTGGAATACTTGCGGAGAGACTAGTGATTTTTTTAGGTGTGGTTTTCTCTATTTCGAGTTGTTTCACTAGGGATTAGGGTTCTTTGGATAGGATAGAGGTGTCTCTGGTGCCGTTGGACCGAGTTTGAACGTCCGTGTTTTTGCCTCCTTTTGTTAAGAAGGGTTAGCTTTATAAATTTGAGCCACAAGTCGGAATTCTTTGTTGGTGTTTGTTTACTGTTTTGTGTGTTTCGATTTTCTACAAAATAAAATCTTTATTTAGTTTTTTTTTTTTCAAGTGTTTTTCATCGTATCCAGAAACTTACACACCCTACATGAAGTTTTATTTTCAAATATTTTTTATAAATATAAGTTCTTGATACTATAAAATTGATGTGAATCGATTCATTCTACTTTTGATTTGATGACAATGGCTTTGTTTTTTTTTTTTTTTTTTCAGTGTGGAATAGAATTTCAGGTCGGATTTTTGAGAGAGAAAATGATGGATGATTTAAGGGTTTGCTACATTAAAACTGATTATTTTTAGTTTATTAACAACTTATTGATTCTTTTCTTAGTTAATGGTTTCATACAAACTGCAGGCATTGCCCGAGCATGAATGGTTCTGTGGTGAACAACGCAACAGGATTCATTCACCTCTTTGGAAGTTTCTCGCCGACGGCAATTTGAAGCTTCCCAAAACTGTTGTGAAGATTTTGAAGAAGAAAGTTAAGGGCAAAGCTTCAAGGCCGAGCCCATATTAATTCGAATGCAGCTCTTACTCTCATCGATATTCGGGCTTCTGGAAGATAAACGGGTGCGAGTTGGTCATTTTACCTCTTTCTCTCTCATCCTACTGCACATTAATAATTGCAGTGAAAAGGTGGTGATGGATCTCTATCCTAATTGAGTATTGTATCATTTCTTGCCAACAAAACACAATAGTAAGGATATAAAGCAACAAAGTTCTGAGTTGAGAAGATGGCAGCGGGGTGCATGAAGCCATCCAGCTGGGTTGTCGGCTCTGATGGCATTGCTTTTTCACAAATTTTGTTTATGTTTGTGCTTAGTTGTATGAATTTTTCAAGCTTGATTTTGTAAATGCTTCTTGAATTGAATCTTCGTCCTTAACTCATTTTAGTTATATTTATGTGAATCTGAATTTGAGCTCTTGATATGCAATTTGTGGGCCAAACTGTGGTTTTTTCCACACTTTAATTTTCCACAAATTGACACTATACTTTCAATTTTTTTCATTTTTGCATTTCTATTTAAATAACATCTCCAGTTTCTATCACTATCCTAAATACACAAATATATTTAGGTACTTTTAAAATTTTTTCTTCAATAAATTAATACAAACTGTCTTCATAAAAAGAAACAACTAAGCATATTTATTTATACATTAATTTATTTACCTTCTGCACCGAGCCCTAATTACTGCTGACATTAGTAACACAAAATGCGTTCGTACTCCTAACCCTCCAAACCTACACAACAAAAAATACCTACCCCAATTCGACTTGGAGTGCAGAAGTGCAGAATTTTAGAAGTATAAACAAAAGAGCACACTCAAAGAAGACCTCATACCAGCACCATGTTCATATCTTTTCATCGGTGTTTGTACCAAGGTTGAAGCTGATTTGCCTATACCATTACTAATGCTTTGGAGAGCCTGTCAGAAACCACAATTTAGATCAAAAGCGATGTTAAACAAATTGCTGGTCCTGGAAATAGCATATTCTTCCTTTACTGCAGTATTCTTTTCCAGATTAAGTGAATTCAGGGCAAGAAGTATTTCTTTTCCGAACTCACAACTATTGAATGGTGATGATTAAATATCAAGGAAAAAAAAAATTGCATATAGCGAAAATTTAGTAGAAGAAATTAGGATATTATAACCTGTTGGATTCCTTCTTGGGCATCATTGGGTTTATTTGTTCTTACAATTGACCGTCTCTGCTTTCTACGTGGCACGGTACAGAAGGTGGAATGCTTGCAAGAATATATACTCTGCCTGTAGGAGGATATTATGGGCTCCTGGTGCCAATAAGTTGTCAGAAAGTTCTCAGAAGAAGTTGTCCAATGCCTATGTAATAGCAATGATTTTCATAATCTTAGTGTATAAAATTAAATATGTGTATGATTGTATGTATCTTCTATTAATAGGAAGTGTATTGTATTATATATATATGAATTGATCAATAAAATAAACATATCAAAGTAATCATACTATGATTGTTGGATCATTTTAAAAAAAAGAACAACAAATCATGTCACCCAAAAATAGACAAAAATGAAAAGGGCCGAGGAATAGACTCAGCACAAATAGCCCGAAGAGTATGCATTCTACATTGTATATTTAGTAACAATAAAATCCACATTGGTGTATTTCCAATTTGACAAGAGAACAATGTAAAGTTATTCACAACAATAAACATTTGTACCCAATAACTATAACATTAGAGTAGGAATAAAAAATTGTACACGATTATTAATCTTTGAGTAACAGAATAACAAAAAGCACAAACCAAGCAGAGGCTTTCATGCTTCCAATAAGCTAGAAATTGAAGAGACATGTCAAGGGAAAACTTTAATAAAAGTGCATCTGAGTTTATGAAGTAGATTACTGAAATTTTATTGAATTTAAAGGTAAAATTATACTAAAGAATTTTAAGTGTGGAAAGTGGAGTACAGGTGAAGTGAGGTAAGTGGCGATTGAAGTGCATAATGGGTTCGCATGGGTGAGAATGTTGAATGAATGTTCACAATCTCGCGCAGGTGTTTATGGGTGAAGTCGATTAATTTTTATTGAGTGTGATAAGTTTGTAAGCATGCATAAATAGTAACGAATGATCTCTGGGGACGAAAGTATACGTGATATATGTGTAAATTTCGTAGGGAGAGTGATGCGTGCAAGCTGATATATAAGACTTCTGTTTGCTAATAACTTCTATAGGCAACCATGGAAAGATAAGTTAATTCCCAGTAAATTCAAAGATGGTAGAACTTTAAACTATCGTTTCAATAAATGACAATTACTTCCATTAAGATACATAACCTCTTTGTATTCTCCTCGATCATTCAAGTAAGTCAATACACCAATAATTTAAACGAAGCTCTAATTGAACTCTGATAGAATTAGGCAACCTTATTTTGCAGGATTCTGCATAGAGCACTAATAATGCAAGAGACATTGGTTTTATGATCAAGAATCCTTCAAATCAATGGCAAAACTTGGGTGATCCAAACCGAAGAGAACAGCTCCTCCCCATTCGAACAATGTACAGAAGACCTTCAAGAACTCTTAGAATAATACTCCAACAGAAAATTTATGACCAAAGCAAACAGCAATTGAAAAACAAAAATATAAAATCCCCCACCCCCCCCCCCCCCTAAAAAAAAGGATCGGGTAAGCAAAAAGACCTGGTCTAGTATATCTCGAATAGCAGACCTCATGGGTTCAAATTGATGAGAATGTTGGGCTTGACATAAATTTATGCATTTTTACCCACACGGAAAGGGATCTCAACCCAAAAATTATACAAAAATTTATTCGGGTGTAGGCCATGTTTGGGATGTTCACAATTTCCCAGCTAGCTGGTGATTTTTACCGGCTTCACATTACCAAACTTAACCACCACCGCAGTCAAGATGGGTTTTCCATTAAAATTATGAGTTATTTGTTGGGGAAAGCTTTGTCAAGTCAATCGATGTTTCACAGGCTGCAAGGAAGAAAAAGAACTGATGTATATTATTCTCACAATCCGGAGAAAAAGGAGTTCAACAATTAAAACATTCGATAGTGATATTAAGATTGTTTACATCAAAACAATCCAAATATGGAAAATAAGAATCACTCTTTATTAAGATACTTTATTTAGATAATTACTTAATATATTTATAATATTAATATAATTAATTACCTAAAATATTTGAAATTATTCAACACTCCCCCGTGCTTCAAATCTGCAAACTCCAAGTCGCCTTTGGAAATACTTAAGCTTCTCCCAAGAAACTGCCTTAGTAAAAGCATCTGTCACTTGATCATTTGTAGAAACGTACTCCAACTGAAGATCACCATTTTCCACCAAATTACGAATGAAATGAAACCAAGTATCGATATGTTTTGTCCTCTTGTGATATGCTGGATTCTTTGTCATTGCAGTAGTGGCTTTGTTGTCACAATAAATTGTTGTTGCATTCTTTTGGCCTTGGTGCATATCAGCCAGTATTCTTCTCAACCACACAACTTGACACGCTGCAGTAGTCACAGCACATACTCCGCTTCGATGAGGACAATGTAACAATATCCTGTTTCCTTGAACTCCAAGAAATAGCACTAGAACCTAAGTTAAAGCTTTGACCGGAAACACTCTTCCTGTCGTCTATGCAAGCAGCCCAATCGCTGTCACTAAATCCCTGCAACTGAAATTCAGCATCTTTCGACCAAATTCCCCAATCAGAGGTTCCAGCTATGTATCGAAGCACTCTTTTTGCTGCTCCTAGATGTTGCACGGTAGGATTATGCATGTATCTAGATAGCAAACTCACAGAATATATGATATCAGGACAAGTATGTGTAAGATAATTTAGTCCACCTATTAGCCTTCGAAAATAGCTCGGATCAGCCGCTTTGGTTCTATATTCCAGCTGCAACTTCTCATTAGTATTCATTGGTGTGGTTGCTGCTTTGCAATTGTGCATGCCAAACTTAGTAAAAAATCATTAGCATATTTATTCTGTGAGAGAAATATGCCATCTTCAGCTTCCTTTACTTAAAGTCCGAGAAAATAACTAAGCATCCCCAAGTCCGACATTTCAAACTCCCTCATCATACATATCTTGAAATCAGCAACTAAAGTTTCACTTGATCCCAAATATACGATGTCATTGACATAAATGCAAACAAGTAGAAACTCACCTTTGTCATTTCTTTTTGCATACAATGTTGGCTCACTTTCACTCCTGATAAATCCATTCTTTAGAAAGTATGAGTCAATTCTTTTATACAACGCCCGTGGTGCTTGTTTAAGCCCGTATAACGCCTTTTTTAGCTTAAAAACTTTGTGTTCTTTGCCCTGAACCACAAAGCCCTCAGGTTGTAAGACATACACCTCTTCTTCTAAATCTTCATTTAAAAATGCAGATTTAACATCGAATTGATAAACCAGAAACTGTAAATGTGCAGCAAGACAAAGAAGAGTTCTTACGGGTGAGAAAGTCTCATCCAAATCAACACTTTTGTGTTGTGCATAACCTTTTGCAACCAGCCTCGTCGTTTTGTACTTATTCATAGTACCGTCTGCATGATACTTGACTTTGAATACCCACTTGAGACCTATTGGAGTTTTTCCGTCAGGAGGTTCAACCAAGTCCCACGTCTGATTGCGCTCAATCGTCTTCATTTCTTCTACCATTGCAGCTTGCCATTCTTTCTTTCCAGCAGCATCTTCAAAACATGTAGGTTCCAATATGTACAATGCAAAGCTGCAGCTTCTATAAACTTCTACCACTGATCTGAATTTTTTCGAAGTGGCTCATAAGTAGAACGAGGAGGATTTCTGTTGCTACTTCGACTCAAATCTTAGGAATCCGACTAACAATCTGCAGAACCTCCTAAATTTTCACCTTCAGCATGTATCACAGTCTTAGGAGAGTGATTAAAAATTCCATCTACTTGCATTGTTGCTCCAGCATTTTCACTTCCTTTCCAAGTCCAACCTTAATTTTCATGAATTGGAAATCCCTACTTATAATCACCTTGCCACTTATTGGGTTATATAGTTCGTATGTCTTGGATTGAACACTATAACACAACAACACACACTTTTCCAACTTTTCATCAAGCTTTGATCAAGATTTGGTCAAAGCATATGCTGTGCAGCCGAAGGTTCGAAAGTGGCTTACCTCCGGCTTGTTACCATTCCATGCCTCATATGGGGTCTGATTATAAACAGCTTTCATCTGAGAAATATTCAAAATGTAGATGGCCGTAGCTACTGCTTTATCCCTGAACTTTTTGGAACACCCTTTGCGACCATTATGCTTCTGCCCATCTCAACAATGGTGCGATTTTTACGTTCAGCTACGCCATTTTTCTGCGGCATGTAAGGTGCAGTCAGCTCTCTACGGATTCCATTCTCTTCACAAAACTCATTGAACTCACGTGAAACAAA